ATATATATATATATATATATATATATATATATATATATATTATTTTATAGTTAAATACATAATAGAGATGGGTAAATTCCCAGTTTTAATGAGGGAGGAAAAGTAGTGGTAGAAAGGTCACTTGTTACAATCATCCTAAACAAAGCATGTAGAAATGAACGTGGCCAGCAGCAGAAGTCACTGCATTTATATATTCACAATTCAGCAAGAATTTTCCAGTGATAAAAGGTTATGCTTCTTCCTAGATGTATGTGGCATTGCTTATGAATCATTGTTAAACACTATGAACTAATTCACTATGAACAGGATGAGGTCCGGAAAACTAATTCTAGTGGACTTGGCTGGGTCAGAGAAAGTGGAGAAAACTGGTGCTGAGGGAAGAGTTCTAGAAGAAGCCAAGACCATAAACAAGTCCTTGTCTGCTCTTGGGAATGTAATAAATTCTCTTACGTGTGGTTTGCAAGGAAAAGCAAGCCATATCCCTTACCGTGATTCCAAGCTCACTCGAATTCTTCAGGACGCACTTGTCGGTCGCCCCTTCTTACATCTTTCAAATGTATCCATTGTTAACCAAATTAGTATCCCAGGTGTGGTATTTTTTGTTCGCAGGGAGGAAATGCTAGAACTGCTTTACTCTGTTGTTGCTCCCCCAGCGCTTTAAATGCACCCGAGAGTCTGTCCACACTTCGTTTCGGAGTAAGGTTCGTCATCCATGAAATCATTTGAGGCACGATCTTGTTCTTTTTTCCATATGGTACAATTAAGGGCTAATTTGTTTGAAATTAAGGGGGTTATATTCGCTTCTCTATTTTAGCATAAAAAGTATGGTAAATTTTAAAATTAAGACTTTGTTATTTAAATTTTAATAAATTTATTTCATAAAAATTCATAAAATGAGAGATTTTATGAAATTTTGAAGGAGAAGAAGAATTTTAAAAATATATATATAATTAATACAAAAGAATTTGGAGTTTTTCATATTTTTCTATTTAAAAAAAATACTCCAAGTCTTTGTTATGGATTATGTTCAAAGGTTGGTTTTTGTCATAACATACGAGGCGTTCTTCGATGACATTTTTTTAATTCGTTGTTTTTTATCCTTTTCTATTTTATGCATTGATGATATATAGAATTTGTTGATGATTTTTATTTTATTTTTTTTTTATAGTTCCCTAGTTTTTATTTGATGATTTTTTTTTATAACTTTTATTAATTATAATACTAATATAAAATATTCACTTAATTACATATAATGTAGATATTTTTCTTTTGATATGATTTATTTTATACTCAAAATTAAGATTTAAATTCTAAACATTTTAATTAAAAGACACAACTCATTATCACTCGTCTCATCTGAATAATTTTAAATCATATGTAAACAATAAAATTAATTTTACACCTCGATTCATTATGAGAAAAAAATACCGGCGAATTATGTTTGGTAATTTTTTGGCGTACATTTTTACAATCGAACCGTTTTATCTATCGAGTCAGGTGGAATTGGCTGTGTTTTTTTTCAAGACTCAATGAAGAGTCCAACCTAGTCTTCTATGTATGGCCTACCAAGAAGTTGGATTAATTTTGACCGTTTTTTCATATTTTATTTATGTAATTATTTTTAAAAAAATATTATTTGCTTCATTTTAAAATAAAAATGCATAAATTTTTCATATTAAATAATTTTTAAATTCTCAACTAATTTTTTTGATTAGGTGTTTAAGCATAAGTTAATAATTTATAAACCGAATATTTATCTCATGACTTAATTACAAACATTTTAAAAATAAAACACAATTTCTTAATAATTTGAGAACCTGTTTAAAAAATTCAAAAAAATTAATGAATAAATGACATCTCCTGATAAAAAAAAATACAGTAACTTCTTTCAAATGAACAATAAATGTTAAAAATTAAAATCTGAATTTCTTGCTTGAGGGGAAAATATGGTTAGGTTGGAATAAAATTAGTTTTACACACACAGCAACGGTTTCACACTGTTAATCTTACTGGGACTGAATAGGCTTGCAAGTGAGAGTTTTTTCTTTTTTCCTTTTTTTTAATCTGTTTTCTACCGACGATCCTTGTTCTGTTGCGGAATATTATTGTGTTGAATGTTGATTGCAGGGCGAAACATATAAAGGCGTCGCCCCGTGTTAATTACAGTGAGGAAAAATGCGACAATAGTTTCAGTGTTTCTTCTCCATCTGGCGACACAAGTTTCGGTGCTTCTTCTCCATCTGGCGACACAAGTTTCAGTGCTTCTTCTCCATCTGGCGACGAATCTAGCGCTACAATTTTGAACAAGGTGAGAATATTGTTGTAAAATCCTTTTGCAATTAGAATTCGTAATAAGACTTCTGTTAATGCAGTTGAGGGAAAAATTGAATGCTGAAGATGTGAAGTTACTAGAGGAAGTGTTCATACAAGAGGGCATTCTGTTTGAACCTCCATCAGTAGAAGAGGAGTCAGACATAGAAGAACTTATCTTGCGGACAATATCCTCACTACAAGCAGCCGTGGAAGAGCTCACAGTTACTGTTAATGAGGTACGAACCATAAAAATGTGCTAGAATCTTTCTCTCTTCGCAGATAATACTGTCTCAGTCACTGTAGATAATACGGTTTGGTTATGGAATGAAACGGCAAGAAAAAAAATAATAAACGTAATTTCTTAATCTTTTGGTTAATTTTATAAACATTATATAACTATTTTACTAAAGATAAATTTTTTTATATCATCTTTTCCCTTTTTCACCTAACTTCAGTACCAATCATACTTTAAAAGTTGTTATTTCTTACTCTATCTTTTCTTTATTATAAAAAAATATTTTTATTCTATTAAATATAAGTAAATTTTAACTATTTTTATTTTATTTAATAATATTTTTAAAATATTAATTTATTGCATGATATTTCAGTTCTTTAATATATATAATAAGAATAATTTTTAAAAAATATTATGAAATTAGTAAAATTTAATATAAATAATAATTTTTTTAATATATATAAAATTAAATTTTTCCAGAGAGAATAATGCTAGCAAAATTTATCAGATTTATCAAATTATTATAAGACAAAGATGTCAGAAACATGATTAATGCGATAAAGAGGTAGGAAAAAAGAATAAAGTTATGAAAAGTGTCTAATTAGATGTTGTATGAATAATTAATATAAAATGTATATTTTACAGCTTAAAAGGGAGAATAGCATTCTTAGGGCCAAAGTTGATGCATCCGCGGAATCTCTGTTCCACAAGGGAGCAGATAATAATAGTTCGTTTTTCCAAAATAAGATTTCAGGTATCCTGACTTACTTCTTTAGCTGGTTGGTTTACACTTCTCCCAGACGATGGCAATAACTACATTCACATATCATGCCTTGGCGGCCTTTAAATACTTTCGAAATTGTATCGTACGTTTGTGGTTACAATGGATAAGCATAATATCTGCAGACAAGGCGTCAAGGCCGATTCCTGAAATTCACGCACTCAGGCCATTGATCTCAATAAAAAAAATCGTTTGTTAACTTTTGCTAGTAACTAACAATTGTTTTATACGAATAATAATTTGGCATGGATGTCTGTCTACTGTACCTCTCCAATAGATTCAATCAGATCATAATTTAATTCACGAAGACGACGATGTCATCAGTTTGGCACAGTGGATCCATAGGTTCACGAGTAGCCAAAAATATAGGGCTTGATAATCTCAGCATGACACGAACCATTTGGACTAATTTAATGTGTTTTGATTTTTACACTGTTGTACGCAATGGCCATACAGTTTAATCTTAGGGTAAGAGGCACTAGATTCCATGGCTGTGGTTTGTGCTGGTATGCAATGTAATCTGGAACTGGATTTCTTATAATAACTAATAAGACACAACATTCAATCAATAACGTGCAACACGAGCCTTGGTTAGATGAATGTAGATCTAAGGTTCTATGTTGCGTCTCGTCATTCGTTGCAGTTATTTTGACTACGGTGGATCCGGGCACTGCAATCTTTTAAACTTGCAGAATTATTTCAACTAAAGGGAAACAACTGCCATTAGCATTTATCAATCTTAGATTGTCGTCCATCAGAAATCTTACATAGAAATAGTGATTGCGGAGTGTGAAGATTCACGGTGGTCACCAGAAGACCACGAGGTGAAGCAATACAATCCCGTGGAGATGCAAGTCAAGCCACAAGAGCGCAATCCGTCAAGAAAAAACCATCTCCTTGCTTTTGCATTAATGCTTTCTCAAGTTTCCGTTACTCTTTCTATCATTTTCTCGGCCTTATTTTTTTTCCTATATTTTATTTTCTTTTTTCAGTACAATTCTCCGGGGCATGTTTTAGTATGGGTTTAGGTCTCTTAAGAGAACGACTTGCAGTCACTGTCTTGCGTTTATCAGTTAATATAATAGCGGTTGACTTTAGTAGTATAAGGACGACATAGTAATTCAAGCTCAAGGAACGTTTTCCTTTTGGCTTTCGCTGTTGCTTTTCCACCATCTTAAGCAAGGGTTTTTATTGTTTTTTAGGTGGGACTTTACGTTAGCTATTTGAAGCAACCAATTGGCATATACATAAGGCACGGGATTATTTTCCATTATGACAGTGCATACAAAGCTATAATTGGAATCAGCTTATCTAGTTAGTAGTTGGTTCCATTGGACACAAGTGAAAAGCTGCGTGCCATGGCTTCTAAGAATGTAATTTTTCAAGTTGTCTTATTTTCCATCTGTTTGGCTATGGGAAATTCGGCCGTGTTCAATTACCCAGCAGTTTTCAACTTTGGTGATTCAAACTCTGACACGGGAGAACTTGCTGCAGGGTTGGGCTTTCAGCTTGCCCCACCCAATGGACAGTATTACTTTAAAATTCCAACTGGGAGGTTCTGCGATGGCCGTCTCATGGTGGACTTCCTAAGTAACTTTTCATTATCCATTGAAATAATATTATTTTTAGTTATTGTTATGATCATTATCATTACTCCGCAAGCTTTTAAACACGAATATAAATATTAAAAGAAGCAATTTTTTTTTGGCAAATAATTATAATATCTTACGACAAAAAAGAATTCAGCTAAAGTGATAGAGGCTAAAAAGTTTCCCGCTTCTTTATTTTCACCGATTTAACTGGCCTCCCAACATGTAGCATCAAATTTTTAGGGGATTGATTTATCTTGACATTTTGCCTCCTCTTCAACAGTCTGCCACGGTCTCCATATTTAGTTATCCATTAAGAAAATGGTATGACTTTCGTCTTTACAAAATTTAATTTTTGTCTAGTATGTATTTTTTACATTATTATCCATTGACATATTACATCATTGAAATCAATTTGATAACACTCATAATTTTATGAAAAATCAAATATCAATACAAAATTAAATAATAGTGTAACAAGGTTAAATTTGACTATCTTAAAGTAAAAAAAAAAACATGTAAAACCAAAGTAAGAAAATAAAAAATCTAAAATGCATTTATTTTTTATTTAAAAAGGTTAAGTTCGCGGGATAATTAAAGGTCAAAATTTTATATCAATTATTAATCAAATGCAAATGCTACACAGAAATTTAATTAGAATATACTGTCTGTATGAAAGTTTTATCCCATTACCAAATTATAGATTGTTATATAATTAAAATATTAATTTTTGTATTAATTACTGTAACAGTTATTTTTAATATGATTTTTAATTGATCGATAGTATAAAGTATTTTACCAACAAAATTAAAATAACAGTCGTACTTTTACCATCTACCTGAAATTTAGTACTTTGATTTATTAGATAATTAATTATTGCTTGAATAAAAGAATGACTCGCTTACACTACAAGTCATACGCACCAAACAAACAAATATCTGGATCTGGTATTGCATGTCAGATGGAAAAGTAACTGTTAGCAAATGTTTGAAACACAAGCAAAGCCGGGAAGGCTTAAAACCCCTCCTTACAATAATAGTCAGTAGCCATGGCCACCAACACATGGATCCTTCGGATTCTTACCATCATTGCCATTTTCATACCTTGTACCAAATCCTTCCACTTGGATTTTCCAGCAGTTTTCAACTTTGGTGATTCAAATTCTGATACGGGTGCACTTATTTCCGCTGGTTTTGAGACCCTTTACCCACCAAATGGACAAACTTACTTTCAAATACCATCGGGGAGATACTCCGATGGCCGTCTCATCATCGATTTCCTTAGTAATAAGTCTCTTTTTGTCACATTCCTGTTTCCAAGTAAACAACTTTTGCACTTACAGCTCCATATGTTCTTGGTTTTTGATTGCAGTGGATGCTATGGACTTGCCATTCCTAAATGCCTATCTGGATTCGTTGGGTTTGCCAAATTTTAAGAAAGGATGCAACTTTGCCGCAGCAGCTGCAACCATCCTTCCAGCCACTGCATCATCCCTCTGCCCCTTCTCCCTTGGGGTTCAGGTCTCTCAGTTCCTCCGATTCAAAGCTCGGGCCCTTGAATTGATTGCTAAAGGTATATATTACTGGACAAAACTTCTTCCATAGGTATTTTTATAGTATTCTCCAATCATAATTAGAGTTTCACTTTAGTATACCTACATTAATTTTTAATGTAAACCTTTATTACACGGATCACTAAGATGCCAATTCTGATTAAAGAGCCTAAAGAATGTGTCATCTACTAAATTTATCTAATTTTTTCAAGCTTGACTTCATTGCATTACTACTTCGGCGGCACAACTAGTTTGCTGTCTGTCTCATTCATTCATGTTAAAAGATTATCACTATGTTTCAGGCAGGAAATTTGACAGGTACGTCCCAGATGAAAATATTTTCGAGAAGGGATTGTACATGTTTGACATTGGCCAGAACGATCTTGCTGGAGCATTTTATTCAAAAACATTGGACCAAATACTTGCCTCAATTCCGACAATACTTGTAGAATTTGAAAAGGGAGTAAAGGTTGGTTTCAAATTATCTGCTTCTACCTTTATATTACGTTTGGGAAATTTATTCCAAACTTAATTGAATTCCATAGGTTACCATACACAGTTGTACTAAGGTTAACTCCTTGTTGTTTGTTTACTAGAATCTCTATGACCAGGGGGCTAGATATTTCTGGATACACAATACAGGTCCTCTCGGCTGCTTGCCACAGAATATTGCCAAATTTGGAACTGATTCATCAAAGCTTGACGAACTAGGATGTGTTAGTGCACACAACCAAGCTGCTAAAACCTTTAACCTACAGCTACATGCTCTCTGTGCTAAATTGCAGGGCCAATATCCAGATGCAAATGTCACATATGTTGATATCTTTACTATAAAATCAAGCCTCATTTCAAACTATTCTAGATACGGTTAGTATCTCTGAGTAATTTGTATTTATTTGCCACGTTACAATTCTATCCAGTTCATTGCTTTTGCCTTTGGATAATTACCGGTTCTTATAGATTGTAAAATTCTCAAATGGCTTTTGTCATCAGTCGTCACTCGTCAATTATGCTGTGGATCATACAACACCTGTTTTATAGATACTACATCAGTACATATTACTCATCATCTTGACATAGATACTACTTTTCATATGAATGCCTTAACAAAAGTTTTCAATTACCAAATGACTCAAGAATGACCAAAACTTAGATTAACGTAAATTGAAAAGAGTTCATTGAAAGAGTAGCACAAGGTCTGTGTTTGCAAGATCGAAACAGTTTATTGGCTAATTAAGGACTCTGTATCATTCACAATAAATAGCGAAGTTACCTTCTATTATATGATCTATTATCATAACAGGATTTATCAGTTAATTGGTGTGATTACATGTTTGCAGGGTTTGAACAACCTATTATGGCTTGTTGTGGATACGGAGGTCCACCACTGAACTATGACAATCGAGTTTCCTGTGGAGAAACAAAGACCTTCAACGGAACCACAATTTCAGCAAAAGCTTGTAATGATAGCAGTGAGTATATAAGCTGGGACGGGATTCATTACACTGAGACTGCAAATCAATATGTCGCATCACAAATTCTCACTGGAAAGTACTCCGACCCTCCTTTCTCAGACAAAATGCCCTTCCTACTTAAGCTCAAGTTCTAAATACCTTTTATATTTATCGTTTTCATTATTTGATTCTTTATGTGCTGGTATCGTGAAAACAATAGCCGATTGTAATTTTAAATCAATGTCAAGCTCTTACTAATGAATACGTTTTCAAGATTCGTCCATTTGACACGGTAACATGGTCTGTGTCATAATGTTCAAGGATTGGTAATTGAACACGTTCACGCTTCATGGTTCATTTGTATGGTATTATATATTGAGATATTTTAAAAGGTTAATTAATTTGTGAAATTATTTTGAATTTAAATTTAAATTTAAAATAATTATTTTATTAATTACTTGTATTAAATTTTAATTAATATTAATTTTAGTGAGATATAGCAACCTGACTGTTGTAATTTTAATAAATTTTAATGGTTTCAAAATTAATTAATTTTAATTATGATGATTTATTATAGTCACAACCGTACTTGTCTCCTTCCTATAAAAATTGAGATTCATTAAAAGTTAGAATGACAAAACATTGCTCTTTTCTCTGCTCTCTTCTCTATTCTCTCTTTTTTGATTAAAAATTTGCTAGTATCTCCTGTTAGTATTGGAACTATTACTATTATATCCTAAGGGATTAGGACTTGTGTGGGAATGAGAGTCTGTAGATAAATCTTTTAAAACAGTACATTGCACGGAATTGAGATCCTTTCATGTTCTCAACATCCATGCATAACAATCTATAGCATATGGTGTTCTACTTTGTCATTTGGGATAAGCAGTTAAGCACACTTGGTATATGTTCCTACTTTGTCTTTTTTAAATTTCAGTTTTATACACGGTTAGTGCTTCATAATATTAATAATACAGTATGATGATGATAAACAACCTCTGAAATGAATGTAGGCAGCAGGTGTACACAGAATTTTATATGGTAGTCCAATGCATTTACTTTGGACCTGCAAGCCGAAACTCTGATCTTATTCTACAACTTTCTCAAGCTCAGTTGTTACATTACATTTATTATAACTTATAACCGCACATTATACAACAAATTTTAAAGAGAAACAATTTTGAAGACAGGTCCAATTATATAACTATTTTCTCCCTTTTTTGGATACATAAGCATAATACTGTGCCATAGGAACAACGAAAACCTCCCACTATAAGGGTGAATTGTCCAAGCTTCTCATCTGTCTCTTCCCCGGATTTAAAGTTAGATTCTTTAGTCTTTACGTTTGGGCCCACCAGGATCTAGAAGCCCATCAATGGCAGCAACTAGCCTTTCGGAGAATATTTTTAAAAATAATATATGCATTTTTAGTGTAACGTTGTTGTTATTATTATTATTATTATTATTATTATTATTTACTTTAGTATTGAATTATAGATTGTCATGTATAATAATTTATTGATTTTTGTAATAACTAACTTTGAAACAAAATCCAAAAAAAAATCAAATTAATTATTGGTATCATTTTTTTTATAGTGATAATACACGCTCATTTGTACTATTTTAATTTTACCAAAACACGAAAGAGTATATAAATAATATAAAAAAAAAAGTTGAAAAAGTAAGGACTCCTTGTAGTAAGTGTTGGTTCATGATATATACACCTCCTTTTGTCTATAAGTACACATTTTTCAAAAAAAAATAATTAAAATTTTAAAATATTTTTAATTTTTTTGTTTTTAATTTTTAATTTTACATCTACAATATTTAATTTAGTACTTTTTTTTTTACACATCTTCCCTCCTTTTTTCAATTTTTACATGCACTTCCTTATAGGGATGGCAAATATACCCGTACCTGTGGGTAATACCCGAACCCGTCCCGACTTTGATGGGGAATACCCGATTTGACTGGGTACGGGTACGGGTAAAACTCGATATATTAAATCGGTACGGGTATGTACTTACCTGCCCCGTACCCGTACTCGTACCCGTCCCCATTCCCATTTTTAATTTAATACCCACCTTCAATTTAATTTTATTAAAGAATTTTAATATTTTTTTATGTATGATTATTTATTATAATATGAGATAAAGAAATAACCTAATTATAATTATAATATAATTAAAAAAATAATTTAAA